ATCACTCCATAACCCTCTCGAGCTCCGCCCCGTTAAATACCCCCTTTTCAAACACCAAGAAGACAGCTACCCCTCTACTTTCCGATTAGACAAATTTTCAGGAAAGTTTCTGAGATTGAGAGGTCTAAACAACCGTCACTTTCTGCTCCTCAGTAGAAGGCGCGCAAGGCGACCTTAGGGGTCCCCGAGTCCAAGCAGCGGCCACTCCGGAGCCCACCTCGCTGCTCTCCGTGCGTTCCTGCCCTGGAAGAGTGGGATTGGTTCTTTTGACCATCAATTGCGCTAGAAGCGCTTTTCATTGGCGTTAGTCAAGAGTAGGACAGAGGGCGGAGCACTCGCAGTCAGGCCGCGTCCAACGGCCATTCTCGCGCGTCTGCCCCTCGGCGCATGCCCCTAACGAGTAGCGCTCATTGGCCAGGAGAGTGGGGAGGGCTGGGAACAGTGGGAGTCGCTGTGTGTGCTGGAGCTGCTGCCGGTGTCATGGCGGAGCTGAGCGAGGAGGCGCTGCTGTCAGTGTTACCGACGATCCGGGTCCCTAAGGCTGGAGACCGGGTCCACAAAGACGAGTGCGCCTTCTCCTTCGATACGCCGGTAAGCTCATTCCCTACGCCCGCAGCGAGCACGACTTCCTTCCATCGCCCTGGTCATTCAGCCGGGGCCTGCACGGCTTGGGCTACCGCCCCCCTGCGCTGCACCATGGAACTTGTAGTCTCCCACGCTCCATTCCGTAGCCGCCTCTCAGGAGCTGCGGCTGTCGTGTGACTACCGCCCCCGGAAGCCGCTGCGCTCGCCTCGCCGGCTCCCCGCCTCGCGGAGCACTGTGGGCATTGTAGTCGCTCACTTCCCTCATGGCCGTTCTAAACGAGGGGTGCAACCCGGCCGTCGGACTACATCCCCCAAGTGGACCCATGCCAAAGCCTGGGCGTCGGCCTTGTCTGTCGCGCACGGCTCTCTGGATTTTGTAGTCGCATTTGGAAGTGATGTGGGCGACTCCCCACTGTTCTCGGCCGGGGTTGGGGTTGCGGGTGGAGGCTGCAGTTCCTAGACGGCTGATAGTCTGGAAGTGGGTTCTGAAGAAGTTGGGTTCTAAGAGAGGCCAAGTGTAAGAGCCTCTACCCATGGTTAATATGGACAGGGGTGCAGGGAGGTGGGTCCTTGGTGGTGAGGAGAGGAAAGCTCTAGTCGTTTCTCCTTTGAAGTGAACTATGGCCGTAGCCACTCCTTTCTCCCCTAGCCCATCACAGACAGCAGAGAGAACCCCTGTTAAAGTATTCCTAGAGATGGTTCTTTCTCAGAAGATTCTAAGGCCCCTTTCCCATTCTGTTCTCACTCTAGACTAGGTACACAAAGCCACCACCCACCCCGTGCTTCACATTTTGCAAGCTCCACCTGGTACCTCCCTTTCTGCTGTTCTGCCTTCCTCTGTCACCCTCAGGCAGAGACAAGCCTCCACGGCCTGAACTGAGAGGGTAGCAGCTTAGTTGGGATCCGCCCCCCTCACCACCCCTCCCCTGAAGCTCTGGGCGCTGCCCAGTGTGTTCAGCCAGACCAGCTCCTGGCCTGAAAACTGCAAGTCAGAGTGGAAAGACTTCATTAATGCATCACCAGTGCTGAGTACAGCAGCATGATCTGAGGCCCAGTACAGGATCATCACTGTGATTTGTGGTTTGCTTGCTCTGCTAGGTTTTGATCTGGGCCTCAGACAATGTGCTGCTTCTCTCCAAGTCTGGTTTTGGCAAAGGTAAAAGAGAACTGCTCAGAGCAAAGCTCCAGGGTTCCATTCCTCGGTGAAACCAGCATCTTTTATTTCTAACAGGGGAGTTTAATAACTTCAGAGCGCCCACGTTCCTCCCAGGAGGGAAAGATTTTTCTTAATTATCAGCAGATGGTAGAAATCAGTGGTGCCCTTATACTTAAATTCGCTCCTGTCTTTTTCCTTAGTAATTGCTTTGAATAATCCAAAAAAAGGGTTTTGTAGTCTTTTGACATTTTCCTTTTTCACCTCAAGTCAAGAAATCTCCAGTGTGGATTAGTTGTTTTGCTAACCAACTTCTAGCATGTTTGATTATCTTCAAATTGGCTTCTGGGTAGAAAAAGAGCTAGTTGACCTCCCTGGTGAGAAATGCTCTATATATCCATTAACATTGCAATTCACATGGTTATAGGGAGTGATACAGAGCAGACTATGGGAGCAAGAACTTACTTAGGCAGTGCCCTACTTTTAGTAATCACAGCTGAGAGGGTGCCACCTATAGCACAGTGGGTAGGGCTCCAGCCACATGCACCAGGGCTGGTGGGTTCGAACCCAGCCCAGGCCTGCTAAAAGACAAAAACAAACCAACCGAAAAAATAATCACAACTGAGAAATTTATTTTTCTTTTTTCTTTTTTTGGTAGCCCCCAGTTCATCGCCCTTGGTAGAGTGCTGTGGCATCACACTGCTCACAGCAACCCCCAACTCCTGGGCTTAAGCGTTTCTTTTGCCTCAGTCTCCCAAGTAGCTGGGACTACAGGTGCCCGCCATAATGCCCGGCTATTTTTTTGTTGCGGTTCGGCTGGGGCTGGGTTTGAGCCTGCCACCCTTGGTATATGGGGCCGGTGCCCTACCCACTGAGCCACAGGCACTGCCCACAGCTGAGAAATTTTCAAGGCCATTAAGGCTTTTATTCCAAGAAGAAGATACCTGTTGCTCAAAGCCTTGGATCTAAAGGAAGATTCATTGTCTCCAGTTTCCTCCTCTGTTTACATGGTCTAAGCCATGATTCAGGGTGGACCTTATCTTTCCTTGTTTTCTTTGCAGACTGTATGTGTTCTAGCAATCTCAGCAACTATTGCTAGTTCATTCTAAGAAGGGGGTGGCTTTGAGGTTGGAGGTTGATGTGATTTCAATGTGGATCTTACTTACTGGTAAAAAGGAAGGGAAGATGGCTGCAGAATGCTAATTTCATGTCATGTCCCTACCAGACCGGGTCCAGGTTTAACTATAAGTTCTGAACAAGAGCTTGGCACCTATAGCTCAGTGGTTATAGCCACATACACCAAAGCAGGCTGGTTTGAACCGGGTGCAGGCCTGCTAAACAACGACAACTGCTACAAAAATTAGTTGGGGGTGGTGCCTGTGGCTCAGTGGCTAGGGCACCGGCCCCAATACGGAGAGTAGTGGGTTCAAACCCAGCCCTGGCCAAACTGCAACAAAAAAATAGCCAGGCGGTGTGGCAGGTGCCTGTAATCCCAGCTACTTGGGAGGCTGAGGCAAGAGAATTGCTTAAGCCTGGGAGTTTGGAGTTGCTGTGAGCTGTGACACCACAGCACTGTACCAAGGGCGATGAACTGGGGGCTACCAAAAAAAAGAAAGAAAGAATTCCAAACAAGGTGTTGTTCCTTTGCAGCAAGGCTTCCTCAGGAGAGGAGGGAGAAGACTCACAGTGTGGACCAGGGCTTGACTACCTAGAGTGTGGTAAAAGAAAGGTCTAGGTTTGCTGGCAAACTCTAGGATTAGATATACTGTTGAGGTGCTGGAATCACTGCTCCTCCAGTCTAGAAGGTTTGATGAATCATAGGTGGGGTTTATCTCAGATGTCCCTGGTTTGGGTTCTGACATGAAAGTCTTTGCCAGGAAAGGACCCATTTTCTCTCTGAATGTAATCTCTGGCACTGGAAGTCTGTAATATTTAGTCTCAATTTATTTTCCGGATCTCAGATCTTAGCCCCAGGAAAGATCTGAAGGGAGTCCTCTGTTCTTGACTGAAGGTCTCCGAAGCCAAAGGGGGAACAAGAGGGAAGATGAGTGGTGACGGATAGGTGTTGCTCAGCATCCTGTTGCTCTTTTTGGTGGTGATCACAGGAGGAAACGGGGAGGACCTTAGCCTTGTACCAAGTCCTAAGACACTAAATATGTTGGGAAGGACCACACTGTGTTAGAGAACCAAAAACTTTCTTCTGGAAACAAGCAGTTTCATTGCTTCTCAGCCTTTCTGAGTGTGGAAACCAGTTGTTTCTGACTCTAGGTCTTTGGTTTCCTCACCTGGCCAGGCTTCATCCTCCTTGTGTTTTCATTGTTGCCTGTTGTCTTACAGGAGTCTGAGGGTGGCCTCTACATCTGCATGAACACATTCCTGGGCTTTGGGAAACAGTATGTGGAGAGACATTTCAACAAGACTGGCCAGCGAGTATACCTGCACCTCCGTCGGACCCGGCGCCTGGTAGGGACAGAGGCTGGGCCAAGGGCTGGGTACATTCAGATACATTCCACGGGGTACCCATTTTGAATCTGTTCTATTTCAACCTTCTTTTGGCCTCATTACTTTTGTTTGTGTCATTAAAACTTAGCACAGTGGCTCCACACCTGTGGCTCAAGCGGCTAAGGCGCCAGCCACATACACCTAAGGTGGTGGGTTCGAATCCCCAGCCCGGGCCGCAAACAACAATGATGGCTGCAACCAAAAAATGACCAGGCGTTGTGGCGGGCGCCTGTGGTCCCAGCTACTTGGGAGGC